GGGGCGTGGGGAGGTCAGTTGGAGCTTGGGGCAAGCTGCACAAGAGGAAGTGGGAACGGCGTGGAGGCACAGGAAGCCAGACTAGAGGGTCGGCGTCAGGAAAGACAGGCCCAGGAGAGAGGATGGCAGTCTCGGTGCGCGTGGCGGCAAGTCTCGGCCGAAGGGGACGGTCCCGCCAGCAGGGTGCCAGCGAGACCGGAAGCCTGACACTGAACATTGTCTATAGCGGAACAAAAAAGAAGATTGAGAAGCTTCCAGAGGACGGGAGTAGCTCACTTACGCGAGCCAGGGTTCTGTCCGACATCAGAACTCGCAGCGCAGAGACTACCTCATGATTCTCTAAAAGTGATTTTAAATAAAGGGGGGACGTTGCCCCGGGGTTTGCCGCCCAGCCAGGTTTGTGTCTACGTGAGGGCGTCGTGACGCAGGCCTGGCCTCCGCAGGGCTCCTGCACGCAAGTCCAGGCGGCAGGCCTGGTGGCCTGGCCTGGAGCCTCAGGCCGTCACTGCGACCGCCAGAGTCGATCCCCGGCCAGGAGTTAACTTACACAGGGCGCAGCAGCCCTCGCCTGACCCGCCCGCTGCTCCCCTCAGCAGTGGATTTCACGGGATCCGCCTGTTCTGCTCCCCACTGCGACTCCGGTGAGTCCTCTCACCACCCCCATCTCTGGCCTGGGCCCCAGTTCTTCCACAAAAGTAAATAAATACATCTTAAAAGAAAGAACATTGATGGTGACAAGGAAATACCTTGGCAAGTGCTGGGTACCAGGGTAAACGGGAGGCCCACAGGGGTGTGGCGGGCGGCCACTGACTCATGACGTTTTTTGGTCCTCATTTTAAAAGATGCCTCTTTTAACTTCACTCCCTGGGGAAGTTACTATATCACGCATTCAGGCGCCGAGGGGGGCAGACGCGAGGGCCTGCCTGCTTTTCCCTACCGCATGTGCAAGACCAGTCATCCGAAAAACCGTGGCTTGGCACAGACAATAAGCAACAGAAGAGACCCGCAGGCAGACCCGGAGCTGTGTGGCCCAGCGCCGAGCCTGCTGGTCGAGGGCGAAGGGAACTGCACTTCTCCACTGCCCTGGGGGTGTGCGCAGGGGCTCTGGCTGCCCCGAGCGAGCGCTGGAGGCCAGAGCAACCGGCAGCCGGAAGAAGATACCGGGCAAACGGTGCGGCCGAGACAGCTTCAAAGGCACAGAAATGCCCCCCAAGACCTCTTGATGAATCTGACTATTCTAAATTAGGGTGTTCTGGGCGAGGAAACATCCCCTTGGGCAAAGTCGTGGGCGCTGACAGACAGGAGAGGCACTGTAACATCTAAGGCCCGAGACACCAGCATCTGCAGGGAAGGGAGAAGCAGGCGGAAATCCAGCAGGAGGCGTGAAAGGGTTTGGGGAGAGGGGCAATGTCCCGAGGAGGAAGACGGAAACCCCAGAAGCCAGGAAAAACCTCAGTCCTCAGCCCTGAGCAGGGGCGGAAAACTGCAGGTGGCTTTGAGCCTGTGGGAGGGGGAGGGCCGCGGAGCTGCCTGCCAGGCGTTGGGGCGTGGGGTGCACGGCTGGCCGTGGGGTGCACGCCCCAAGCCGGAGGGGCCCTGCAGTGCTCCCACATGCAGATTTCCCCACCCCAGACTTCCTGAATGGGGCATCTGGGAAGGGGTCAGGAAGGGGGGCCGTGAAGGGGGTCACAGGAGGAGACGTGTGGGGAAGAGATGCAGGAAGAGACGTAGAGGGGAGCCGCGTGGGAGGCGGCCGTCGCCTGGACGGGCCGGTGGGTGCTGTCCTGTCCAGTCCGGTCCTGTGTGGGTCCTCCCCGGCCCGTTCCGCCGCAAGGCACTGGAGACGTTTGGCAGCTTTCAGGCCTCCGGTGCCCAGCCAGGGGTCCATCCTGTTGCCGGGCATTTGCCCATGAGAAGATGAGCCTTTGGGGGTTCCTGGGCAGCTGTCACTTGAACTCTGCTCTCTGCACGCTCAGGCTCTGCTTCCTTTGCCCTGGGGCTGGCAGGTGGCAGGGGCCCTTTGCAAGAGTGCACCACTTCAGTTTGGGGTGTGGGTACCCTCCCCTGTCTCAACCTAACAGGATGGGGTGGGTCTGGAAAGCAACCCAGCAGCTCCCACTGGCCCTGAGGGAGGGCCACCGGCTGTTGCTCAGGGCGGCAGAGCTCCCCAGCCCACAACCTGCCCTCAGGAATCAAGACTGGACTGTGGGAGGAGGGGTAGACAGCTCAGTGCCAACAGTGGGGCCCCGCACAGACCCATGAGGGCACCTGACTAGGAGCTGAGGCGCACCCCTCACCTGCCACCAACAGCCCAGGACCACCCTCTCCCCCGCGGGCCGCCCGGACAAGCGCAACTGAGCCCTGGCCAGGTCCAGCAGGCGGTGATGCCCGTGGGGGAGGCAAACAGCCGCACACCCAGGCAGGCAGACAGGCTGGCCGGGCCAAAGTCCTCCCAGAGGGCCGGGAGGGGGCCAGGGACCAGGGGACTGTCCGGGGCGGCAGGGGCCACGGTCCTCCACTGGCCAGGAGACAGGACCCGGCTGAGACAGTGTAGCAGGAGTGTGTCACGGTGCGCCATAAAGTTGCAACTGCTTCCTCGCTTCCCTCTTGTTTTCCTCTTTGGGGCTCACCTGCTGCCAGGTGCTGGGCGCTGCAGCAAGAGTCCGGCTGCTTTGCTCGGGCTCAGTGAGCCCTGCAGCCCTTCTGGAAGGAAGCAAAGCCTGGGGGGCGAAGGGAGCCAGCGGCGCTGGCGGCAAGGCGAGCGCCCCTGCGCCCGCCCGGTCTGCCCGCCTGGCTTGCGC